AGCACTGAATAGAGGCCCAATTTCTTTCTTTCTTTCTTTTTCTTTTCCTTTTTTTAAGGTTTTGCCAAAGGGTGTGTTTGCTCCCTGGATACAGACAATGAGAGGGAAAGTGAGAAGTCACCCGCTGGGGGAGATGGCCATGCAATAATTCCATCTCCTCTATTCTCCTCCTGGGATTTTGGACATACATACACACCCAGCATGATTTTCAAGTCCCTGGGTCTGGGACTTGAACCATAGTTGGTCATATGGTTAGTCCAGCAACTTAACCACCATACCATGTGCTGGCTCCAGAAGCCCAGTGTCTTTAGCCTCCTGAATATGCCTTCAAATTACTTCTCCATCCTTATCTCCCATGACTCTACTCTGAGTTTTTTGCTGTATCATAATGATTCTCAAGGGAGATTTGTCCTCCATCCCTCTCCTTTCCAAGGCTGGGAAGATTATCAATATCACTTGAAGTTGTACCCAACTTTGCTGGCACCCTCACCTCCTAATCCAAGTTTCTGCTGGATCCTTTTCTCTAAAACTTTGCTGGATTGAATCTTTGTTATGGTCAGATTAGATCAGATTTCCCAAATGGCCAAGGAGGAAGAACAGTTGCTTAAAACATTGCTAATCAGTTTCCCCCCATAGTTCCTAATTATCTCCCAATCACTTTTTCCTACAACTAGACCATTGTCCTTCCCCTTTTCTATTCTACCAAATCCTGCCAAAGTACTAGCACTCCTTTATCTTGCACCATCTGAACACCTCCCCTGAGTGTCATAATCCAGAGAGACTTTCCAGGTTTCCCACCTCTTGGGTGTGCCTCACTGGAGATAGGTTTCCTCTTCCTGGGAATACAAGTTTTGAGGCCTTCCTGTCTGAGCCCATTCAAACATCTTCCCCTCTTAAGAGGAAAAGACATGAGAATAGTAAGAATGAATATGAAAATGAAGATGATCATGATATTAATGACGACGACGGTCCTAACAGTGGCCCCTATCGCATGGTGATGGCCTGTTTCCGCCACTTTGGAATGACAGTGTAATACACACTCTCTCAACTCTATCTTTCAGCAAAGCTTGGCACTTAGAAAACATTCACATTTGTTGGCAGAATACGTGTATGTTACAATCCTCGTTTTACAGGTGAAACTGAAACTCATGGAAGTCAAGTCACTCTTCCAGGTCATGGAACCAGAGGTGGTGGAGCTGCAAATAGAACATGATTCTTACTGATTTATGTATGTGTTTCATCCCTATTCTACATTTCTGGGTGATGGCCTTGGACGTCTGAGAAAGACAGGAAGAGAGGGTGGTATCCATTTGTGGCAAACAGTAGCCATTCCTGGACTGACTGGCCAGCAGAATGTGCTGCTGCTTCTGAATTCCTAGTGTGAGAAGAGTTAGAAAATCATGCATCTGGGAGCAGCTGGTGGTGTGGTGGTTAGGGCAGCTAAATCCCACGTGGCCAACTGTACAGTTCACATCTCAGATAGGTGGCTTGAGGAACATGCCAGGCATGTGCATGCATACCCCAAATCCCAGAGGAGTATGGTGGAGAAGGGACTGCAGCATGGTCATTCCCTCTGGGGAGTGCTCTCTCACCGCCCCCCCTTCTTACCTCCACCCCTCCCATCCCCTACTTCTGTATTTCTCCAGCAAGTTCACACACCCTGTAGCAAAAGAAAAAAAAAAATAGAGAAAGAAGGAAAGAAAGGAAGAAAGAAAAAAGAAGAAAAAATTGTGTATCTGGAAGGTCTTCCAGCTATATGCCCTCTCCACATCTGTACCTAGAAAGCCCCAGAATTCTTCTCAATATCCTCCTGGAAGCCAAAGGGTGCAAAAGAAGAATTCTGGGAGGCAGATCTTTTTCCTAGCATTGACTGAGTGGACTTTGAGATTCTCTTAACTTCCCTGACTTAGCCATAAAATGAGGAATGTGCCTGTGCTGGTTTCAGAGGTCCATATATCCCACAGAGCTCCGTGAACCTCCCTGGAAACCTGTGTATGAGGGGCTGAGCAGCTCTGCCAAGACAGCTGACCTGTGGTCTCCTTCATGTCCTGTAATCCCCGGCCATAAACATAGGATGTGAGTGTAAATCTCCCAGTGGTTCCCAGAGCTCTCCAGGGAGCTGGTCATGAGAACCGTCATGATGACACCTCCCTCATATGTCTCCTCTGGCCATCAACGTTCTATTCTTTTGTTGGTTACAAGTGCATATTCTAATGAACTCATTCAGATGTAACACTCTAATTATTCTGCGTTACAAATACAAAACAATTCATTTTGTTAATCAGGTTTTTAATTTTTTTTTTTTATGATGTATTTTATGGTCCTGCACCTGCCCTCTTATCTGATAATAAACTCAGCAGAGGGCTGGAATGCTGGAGGAAGAGGATCTTGGTTTGCAACTCATGCACTGCTCTCTCCACTGATTTGAGTAGCAAGAAGAAGAAACCAACTTTTTTTTTTTTTTTGGCGAGGTTTTTTGCTATAGGTTGCGTGCGCTCGCCAGAAAGACAGAGAGACAGAAAGCAAGAACTCACCCCCCAGGGGGGATGGCCACGCTGCAATCCCTTCTCCTCCATTCTCCTCTCAGGATCTTGGGCACGCATGCACGCGTGCCTGGTGTGGGTTTAAGCCACCGGGACCTGAATTGCGGTCGACCACATGGGAATCCAGTGACATAGCCATTACACTAACTGCTGGTCCCAAGAAACCAACTTTTGATGGAGTTAACATACTATGTATTGTGCTAGATGCTTGTATGTGTGTTTAAAAATGTCGCTCAGCTTGGGCCAGTTGGTAGCAGGGTAGGTAAGGTGGCTCAAGCCCACATAACCGACTGTACACTTTGCGTCCTGCACCTAGTGGCCTGCGAAACACACCAGGCTTGTGTGTATGTGTATCGGAAATTCCTGAGACAAAAATGGAGGAGAAGGGTTTAAGGTGTAGCCATCCCCTCATGGGGGGCAGGGGCTTTAATACTTTCCCTGTGTCTCCCTATAACATGCATATATAAATAAATAAAAAAGAAAAAAAAAAAACCCAACCCACGTTCCAAAGTCAGGATATCATTTCCTTTTTCCAGTGAGGGAGTAAAAGGTCACTGAGTTTAAATAACCAGTCTAAAGCCATAAAGAACTTCTGCCAGACCCCAAAACTCCTGCTTTCCCTGCCATGCCAGATGTCTGTTGTAGGTGGGCAGCTAGACTGATTTGCCCATCAGGCCAGCGGGCAAAGTGATGAGGTCCATGCCACCTTTAGGGACTCATGAAAATGTCTAATATTAAATGGACATAACAATAATGAATAGCTATTAATAAATCTAGTCTTTATTGTTTTAACAATGCACTCATAAAAAATAAATATGCATGTGTGTACGTGTGTGTTTATTTATTTTAATGGAAGAGCCTCTAAAGGCAAAGATGCCTAGAATCCAGTAAAATCCTTATGTGTCTCCTGTACATAGTCTCTATTTTCCACACTTTTTTGTTTGTTTGTTTGCTTGTTTTTTGAGTTTTTTGCTATAGGGCGCATGCACTTGCCAGAAAGACAGAGAGAGACAGAGAGACAGAAAGTGAGAAATCACCCATCGGGGAGATAGCCATGTCACAATCCCTTCTCTTCCATTCTCCTCTCAAGATCTTGGGCACACACGCACATGCGCCTGGCATGAGTTTAAGCGACCGGGTCCAGGACCCGAACTGCAGTCAACTACATGGGAGTCCAGTGACATAGCCATTATGCTAACTGCTGGTCCCCCACACTGGCTTTCTCAGGGCATAGGCCAGTTACTAGAGGAAATGCCCAAGAGATATAAGGAGAATTTAAAGAGTTTGTGTAAAAATTGAATCAAATGACAAGTTTATTTTGGTGTCATTTTTTTTTTTTTGGAGAGGTTTTCGCTATAGGGTGTGTGCGCTCGCCAGACAGACAGAGAGAGACAGAGAGACAGAAAGTGAGAAATCACCCCCCAGGGGGGATGGTCACACTGCAATCCCTTCTCCTCCATTCTCCTCTTGGGATCTTGGGCATGCATGCACACGTGCCCACTGTGAGTTTTAAGCCACCGGGTCCGGGACGCGAACCGTGGTTGACTACGTAGGAGTCCAGCGACATAGCCATTAGGCTAACTGCTGGTTCCCGGTGTCATTTTTTTTTTTGAAATTCTTTTTTTTATGATAGGTATTCTCCATGAACATTTTGATGATTCTGTGTATGGAATCTATTTGTTCCAAAAGCTATGACTTCATCCTATTTCTTTCCTGCTCAGTTGAGAGTGGGTGTGAGATCAGACACATGGTCCTTCACCTCTCGTTCTGGTGGGCTCGGGGTTGGAAGAAGTGCACTTGCTGGGAAAGTAACACGTCAAGGTATTCTCTACTGAAAAGGTCACCTGAAATCATACCAAAAGAAATGAACCCAACACGCAGGGAATTTAAGCTGCGGCAGAGGCACAGAGAGGTTGATGTTCACTTCTGTTATGACTCAATAAAAACACTACTATGGGGGACCAGCAGGTGGTGTAACGGTTACATCACTGGACTCCCATGTAGTCGTTTGCAGTTTGAGTCCTGGATCTGGAGGCTTAAATTCACACCAGCGTGTGTCTGTGTGCCCAAAATCCTGAGAGGAGAATGGAAGAGAAGGGATTGTGGCATGGCCATCCCCCTAGAGGGTGATTTCTCACCTTCTGTCTGTCTCTGTCTCTCTGGCAAGTACATGTGCCCTATAGCAAAAAAAAAAAAAAAAAAAAAAAAAAAACCTCCTTCAAAAAAAAAAAAACCCAAAAAAAAAAAAAAAAAAAAACTCTCTCTAAAGCAAACAAAAACCACTCATATGGGCAGCCAGGCTGAATGTAGTTGTTATCCAGGCCTGTACCAGCTCAAGGAAAAAACAAATTTGAAGTTTAAGAGGAAAAAGAACAAATCCTGTGAATGGCTTTAAACATTGCAGCCTCACTCCTGAGGCTGGAAGCCCATTTCCAGGCAGAACGAATTTCCACTTACCTGAAAGACGACTCTTGAGCTTTGTTTTATTGTTGCCCTGTTTGGGACTATCCAGGTTCCCCTTGGATTCCTCAGGGCCACACAAATCTTGGGTCTCTTCTGTCCCAGGCATCTGGAATGCAGAAAGCACAGAACTGATGTGATGACTTAACACTATTCCTTCTAAGAAGTTATCTCAAAGCTCAGAAGACAGTAATCCAGGTGTCACATGAGAAGAAAGGTTCACGAGATCAAGGCATAGCCCTTCGAGATAACCTGCCACCAGACAGCCTCTTACAGGCAAGTTCCTCTGTGGCACAGAGCCAGCGAGGTTCAAATGGGAAGAGGCCCCTGAGGCCATTTCCTATTTCGTCCTACATGTGAGGAAGCCTGTTGGTCAAGGCCACCCTGGTGGTCGTGTGGTAGTCCATGCCAAAGCCATGGAAGCCTAGGCTTCTTCCTATAATGCAAGTTGCAACTAATATTAAACCAGAAATTGAAACTCAATTCCAAGTTTCCTAAAACATAGCAAAACTTTGATGCCGTGGCAGTCAAAAAACTACCTCTTTCAGTCAACCAGATAATCCATGTGTTACATACAGATTCAACGCTTCCCAGAATCAAGCATTATCCAGGGTATGTGGAGGTGTTGACATGAAATCAGCTACACATCTATAAGTTGCCTGTCTCTAGTACCAGCCCTCAAGAGGTGATACAGGAGGGACCAGCAGTTAGCGCAATGGCTATGTTGCTGAACTCCCATGTAGTCGACCACGGTTCAAGTCCTGGACCCAGCAGCTTAAACTCACGATGGGCGTGTGTGCGTGCATGCCCAGGATCCTGTGAGGAGAATGGAGGAGAAGGGATTGTGGCATGGCCATCCTCCCCGGGGAGGGTGATTTCTCGCTTTTTGTCTGTCTGTCTGTCTCTGTCTTTCTGGTGAGCGCATGCACTTTATAGAAAAACCTCTCAAAAAAAAGAGGTGATACAGAAAGGATGATCCCAAGGCTCAATGGGTCCACCATCCTCGAAAAGTCAAACGCGACCAACCAAACAAAATCAAGAACCCCAAGATCCAAACTATGCTTACTAGAGAGGAAAGGATTGCCATGCATTGAGAATACTTACAAAAATTTGGGGGAGGGGAGGGTCAGGCATGGTACAGTAGTAAAGCAACTGGACCCACATGGAAAAGGTACTGGGTTTCAGCCCCAGGACTTCCCTGAGCACCCTGGGCATGGCATGAGGACCTCTTTGTGGGTGCCTGTCTCTCTTTCTCTCATTAAATAAGCAAATGAATAAACTTAAGGCTCCCTGTAGCCTCGTAGTTAAGGGAACTGGATTCCACATGGCGAATCCTGACCCTAAAGGCTAGAAAAACATGCTGGGTGTGTATGGCTCAAATCTGGAGAAGTAAAGAAAGATCGTGGTATGCCTATACCCCCATTAGGGGCGGACCACACCCCCATCAGGGGTGCTTTCTCCCTCTCTCCTTATGTCTCTCTGGTAACCAAACAAAAAACAATTTAGAGTGGTACTCACATGTGAAACTTATGAGAGGGCTGGCCCCGTAACTTGTTAGCTAAAGGAGCCCCCTCCTTATGGGCGGCCGAGGTTAGAATCCTGGTGCCCAGCAGCTTGTTAGACAGTCCACGTGTGTGACTCCAGGCACAACATTTCAGTGGAGGAATGGAGGACCGTGGTGTGACCATGCCCCACGGGGGTGCTTTCTGCCTCTCTCTCTGCTTCTCTGTCTCTCTCTGGCAAGTGCATGCCCGCCTCTGGTAACTAAAAAGCAACTTATGAGATATATCAAATAATAAGCCTTCCTATTTAAAATGTATTTCCCTTTGAGGTTCTAGAGAAAAAATTTCTACATCACATTAATATAGATAAGATTCTTGTTAAAGAACATATACATATTTTTTAAAAAAAGCATTCTCTGACACTTAGTAGTCATTGAAAAGGCATGTAATTATAATGCAAGAAAATTCCCTGAATTTTAATAGGTAATAAAAATTATACTGTATATCAAATTCAGTGTATAAAAATACAGGAAGTAAGCAGTAAGTCCCCAAGGAACTCCCTTTTAAGAAGTAATTATTTATATAAATCTTGTATGTGATATGTAAGATTCAGAAGATTCCCTCTTCCTTATCAAGTTCAAGTATCTTTCTAGATAAAGAAGAGGGTAAAAAAAGAGTCTGAGAATGGGGAGAGGCAAGCAATGCTGAAGAAAGGGCATTAGGAAACAAATCGATGCTGCCCTAGGAAACCAAGGTAACAAATTTGCTGCATTCATGTTACATGTCAGGGACTGGCAGGTGTCCAGGCTTAAATGAAGAAGAAAGTGCAAGAATTGAATCCCGAGGATGCCTTCAGAGTTTCTCTAGAGGAATGTCTTCCCCACCCCCACATCCTGACATCTACACATACGCAGTGTAAAAGAACTCTCTTTGATAAGTGTCAGAGACCTGGGCCAAATGCAAATAGGAACAACCCAGAGACAAGTCTCAGGGCCTCTTTTTCACTTGGCTTACAACTTTATGGAGGGCTGGCCTCACAGCCTAGTGGTTAAGAGAGCCAGACTCAGGGGACCCGCAGACGGTATAATGGTTACGTCACTGTACTCCCACATAGTCAACCACAGTTCGAGTCCCAGACCTGGTGGCTTAAAACTCATGCTGGGCATGTATGTGTGTGCCCAAAATCATGAGAGGAGAAGGGATTGCAGCATGGCCATCCCTCCTGGGGGGGATTTCTCACTTTCTGTCTCTCTGGTGAGCACAAGTGCCCTATAGCAAAACTGTATTTCTTAAAGAGAGAGAGAGAGAGAGAGAGAGAGAGAGCGAATGAGCCAGATTCCACATGGCTGACCACAGTTTGAATCCTAGCCCCAGTGACTTGCAAAACATATCAGATGTGACTGAATGAATGTCCCAAATCCCATCAGGATGGAGCAATGCAGGTGAAGGGATTATGGTGTGATCACATCCCATTAGGGAGTACTCTCTCCCTCTTCCTCGCTCTGTCTCTCTATGATTCTCTGCCTAGTGCAAATGCCCTCTGCCAATTAAGAAAAGGAAAACAAGAAAAGCCCTAAAAACATTAGAGAAAGAACATGTCCTGAGACTGTAAACAGCTGTTGTCCTGAGGCTATAAACCGCCATTTTAACAGACAGTGAGATGTTCCTGGTTCTTTCTGATGACATCACCCTGCCCAGACTATGACCCTCGAAGTTATCCCCGCTCGACACTCATTACCTACTTTGGTGTCTGAAAATGAGGGGCTTACTACACAGCGGCCTAAGGCCCAAACCATCAGAGAGCCAGGGTGAGATGCTCACATACAGGGAAGGAATCCATCCCAGTCTACCCTTTCTGGACCCGTGAAGTTTCCTCATTCCATTTGCTCTCTGTTTTTCTGACATTGTGCCACGTTTTCATAGAATCAGAGAAATGTTGGAGATGGCATAATCACTCACATGAGTATCTGAGGAGAGTGACCTGCCCAGGCCTCTCAGTTCAGGCAGACAAGACTGCAACTTGATTTTCCACTCCTACCTTCCAGCTTCAGGTATGACTAAGATTTCCTCCATCCTCCCTCCATCAGAAGATTGTTTCTAATTAAATCAATGACTTGGGATGGTCAATACCAGACAAGTATTTAGTTCATTCTTCTCAATTTTTTTCATTTCATTTTTCACAGCAAACTCATGTCCCAAAGCAAGTAAGATTGTCTTTATTTGACAGAAGAGGAAATACAAATCAAGACCTTAAATAACATCGTTTTGTTTGTAATGTAACTGGACCCAATGGGAAAGGCCTGGGACTGCACCCTGGAGCCTCCCTGACATGCTGGGTAGTGCACACGTGCCCATGACCTGGGGTGGCAGAGACTGGGGCCGGGCCACAGTGTGAGGACTCTACTGAGGGGGCCCACCACCTCTCATGACAGAAATGAAAATGTAGAAGGCATTGACAATGTTTTCTTTAATTTGCCAGAAGATGCATGTACTCTCAGGAGGATGGGGAAGGGGCGGGTAGAGGGCAAGCGAAA